CCTCCTTTAACCATGCTTTACTTTAGCAGAGTAAATTTCAGTTAGAGTAGACCCCTTTGAATCAATGAAACCTAAGGAGTTGATTCATTAAATCCCACTTTAGTTATGATTAATTACGTTAAAGTAAGTCACACTTGCAGGAGACACATCAGAAAAAATGGAACTCACAGAGGAGTCAATTCAACAAATCCCTGTTGGATTCAATGGGCCTATTTTAGAGTGACAAATTATGCTAAGCAACAAGATTTCAATGACTGGATGCCACGGCTACTACTCTCTGACCTGTCATTCCCCCTTCCCTCCACTACATTTAAGCATCAACAAGGTAATAACTGGCTTCCACAGTTCTGGAATAGACAAAAGGCCAATAGGCTGAAGCTGAACTTGGATAGCATGGAGATCCTACTACTGGAAGCTCACTCCTTTGGGACTGATTGACTAAGCTGGATGGAATTATTCTCCCGACATGGGATCATGCTCAGAATTTGGGGGTGATCCTGGACTTGTGGGAACCTCATTATTTGTCTGAATATCTCCCCTAAGAACTCTGCTCATCCCACCTGGTCTCCCCAAGCCTGGGTTTAAGGTAGGTAGGTAGGAAGGGATATATAAATAGCAAAGGATTATAATGGGAGAAGAACAGAAGCCAGTGCCATTTTTTCTGTGCGGGCTGGAGGGGACAAGTTAGGCTAATGACAAGCAAACTTATTGAGATGTTACAAAAGTACATAATGACATACCTTCTATTCCCTATTACAAGGTAAACGTATAAAACTGCATGGTGCCACAGCTTTGCTGTATCTCAGAATTATGAATTAAGAGTGCACTGTCTTTCATGCATAAGGACAGATATATTAAGTATTAGCTCTATGAATGATAAGAAGCTATGCTTGGAAAAGTTTTAAAAAATTTAATTGAAACTCAAGTAGAATTCTTAAGTTATATGCCTGAATGTAATATTGGCAATCACATGCTAATATTCGTAGCTGTGATGAATCATTCTAACTAAATTGCTCTGCGGATATCACCTAAGCATTCAAGTCATTTATCTTAAACAGTCTTCATTTGGATAGGTTCACAGAACCTTTTGCATAGAAAGCAGGGGTATCTACTTGTGCTATGTCTCCCCCCTTGGATCCTGAAAACCTGACCCTCATTTCCCCATGGCATGCTATTCCAAACAATCCACTGACTCATGAAGTGCTTTCCAGAGGATGTGGGAAGTTGAAACAAGGAGACAAAAAAAAAAAAGAAAAAGGTCTCGCTGTTCAAGCGGAGCTGTTTGGTGTTCTTTGGAACTTAGTCCTTTTTTAAAAAAACCTTATATCATCTCTTCATACTGCTGTGTATCTCCTCAAAATATTAAAAACATACGATCATTTATTCTTCATTCAATATGCAAAACCACCGTCTGAAAGAACAAACCCCAAAACTGCACCGGAAAAGCAAAATGTCTTTGGCTTAAGTCACAAGTTGGGCCAAACACAAGGGTGAAGGGCTAAAACTTTGCTTTTAAAAACAAAACAGATGCCAAATTGTGGGGAAACTAATCAGATCATGCATTATGGATATTTCTCACTCTTGTTATTTCCTTTTTAATTAATACAAGCACTTCCAAAGCTAACTTTAGTTTCTGAACTGTTGGGGCAACTAGAGAAGAGTGCCATTCTCCAGATGCGGAATTTCATGCCTACTTCTAGTTTTTGGCTTTTTACACTCCCACATTGCAGTAGGCACACAGCTGCATATGTTAATAGTCTCCCTTAGGCTCCTATGTTCTACTATCCACTGGATGAAAGTGATGATTTGACCAACCAGGCCCAAATACTGTACTCCACCATCCAATGAACTTTTCTGAAGATTTCACCTAACACAGCTTCCATCTCAGCAGCACATAATGAAACACAGCAGGGACTTTTAGAATGTGTACCACGTCTGATGACCTCACTGACAAAATGTAAAACCATCTCAGTTTCTAAAATTTAGAATCTGAAGGTTTCACACACTTGGAAAGTCTTATAGAGTTATGCTCTGTTCCAGTAACCATTTATTAACTCTCCCTTCACCATAATAAGCAGCTCACATAAATAACTCCATTTATGTACCAATTTAAAATAGCTCATTTCTTCACAATTTTCAATAGATCTGCAGACAGTAGGATACTTTAGAAGGGGCCCTCTATTCCGCTTTATTAGGTATGAGATGTGAACAAAATCGCAAGATCCCATGTATCTTTTGAAATTACTAACACAGAACACAGCTCAGATAAAATTAAAGACATTTTGGGCTCACCAATTTTATTGGAAGGATTTAATAACTCATTGAAATGAAGGAGCATTAACACCCTCTCCACTGTTGGTTGAAGGAGAATTTACCCTTTTTTCATATAACTTCAGCATGATTACCCTACAAACCTATAGGAGGGAAACAAGGCATCCCTCCCATTGCTCTGAGTGGCATATTCACCAAAATGTTTGGAAAAACAGTTCAGAATATCAATTTATCCGACATCTACAATTTTTCTAGTGCTTATACTCACAGTGTGGTTTATACCAACAGAAGCATCCACAAGTGTAATTTTCACAATACAGTTGACAGATCCACAGCAATTTAGCCCACATTTTGATCTCACTGAGATGAAAGAAAGCATCACTAAGTCCCAGAGCCTGGAACTTTATTTCCCCAGTTGCTTATGTTACTTTGACTTGCTTCAACAGGCAATTGCTGTTACAACAGGCTGGGTTTCCAAAGCATCTCACTGCGTTGTCATTCCATTACTCGTTCACATGGTTATCATTTGTCTTTAGCTAAATAAGGTAGGGAGAGTATCTCTCTATACCCTGCTATTTTTACCAAACACAGGGAGTCTGTGTCAATTGAAATGACTCTACATTATATTAATAGGATGCTCTAGGCCGCGGTGGCAAACTTTTCGCACTACAGATGTTTTGAACTGCAGCTCCCAAAGTACTTTTATGAGTGGCAACACAAGCTGTGGATTCTGGACATTGTGGTCCAAAATATCTGAAGTGCCACCTTTTCTAAGCACAGTAGGTTTAGATGGCTGCCTCCCACTCTCTCTAACAAGGTAGTTGTTGGACAACAAGTAGGGTCTCAGGTTGCTTTTTGAGTGGTGCAGGATTCTAATTTTCAAATTAAACAGAAAATATAGACACACCCTCTTTAAAATGGGTGATAATTTAAGAAAACAGTGAAATTAGAATTGCATGATACAAAATCATGTTAGCTGTTTATTCAGGAACTGTCTAGAAGTGAAACATTTATCCGTCATCACTCATAAAAGTAATTAATAATTTCTGAGGCATCCAAGCTTTAAGGTACCACAGCTTTCAAGATTTAATTGCTATTTTTCTGTCTTGATGCATCTACGAGTGATCATAGCAAAAGTTACAATACTTTTCAATCTTCTCGAGTTTCAATGTTCTCGAGTTTGACTTTTAAACCACTAAGAACTTCAGATAGCAAATTATGCATGGTGGGAAACAGATCTGAGTCTGGAAACAACTAAGTTTTGTGAGCACCTGACACAATCTAATTACATCACATGTGCACTGCTCAGTGTAAGACCAGAAACATGTTAAGTATTTTGTATTCGCGAAGGCTTTCACAACCGGGATCTAATGGTTGTTGTGGGTTTTTCAGGTTCTTCGGCCATGTTCTGGAGGTTTTTCTTCCTAATGTTTCGCCAGTCTCTGTGGCCGGCATCTTCAGGGGACAGGAGTTGGAACCAGAACACAGACAGAGATGTAACTCCTGTCCTCTGAAGATGCCGGCCACAGAGACTGGCGAAACATTAGGAAAAACAACCTTCAGAACACAGAGCCCAAAAACCCCACAACAACCATGTAAGCACTTTCCTCTGTTCTTCAGTCATATCACCTGTGATATGTTCATATAAGTCAGATTAACTGTAAATATATTTATGCATGCAAATTACCAGTCGACAGACCACCTACAGCAAGAAGATTCATTTTCAGTACATAGTTACACTCTTTGGACAAAGGAATTTGCTTTCAGTGGAACGTCTGAATTTGCTAGGTGAGTAATCTGCAGTTCAAGTGACTTACATGTGCATGCTAAGCAGCTTTGTTAATTTTTCCGTGTTCTCTAGCATTCAAGAAATATTGGGAAATGAAGCCTGAGAATCAGAATTTCAATGAAGTACTCTTAAGCAATGTCACAGATCTATAGGACTGCTTTGCTGGTCATATGGCAAAGCAGAAGCTGGTCTGGTAATTAAGGTAGAAGTTGTGTTTCATGTATATAGTAAGCAGAAAGAGTGGTAGTGATAGTAAGATGAACAGGTACCACCTTAAGAAATGAAAGTAATCTCACTTTTAGCTGCAGCTTATTTAAGATGGGCCTTTTTTGAAACTTGATGACAGTTTAATTGCTAAGAGCATAGTAAGCATCAATGATGCTTCTACATAGGATTTTAATTCCATTCCAAAGTATTAGCAGTGTAGTGTATTGGTTGAACTCAAACTTGAGAGATCAGGGTTCAAACTCTCTGCCTACGAAAGTCACTGGGTGATCTCAGACCAATCATACTCCCTCAGCCTGACCTGCCCCACATTGCTGATATAGAGAAACTGGGGAGGGAAGCTGTGTGTGCCACTTTGAGATCAATGGAGGAAAGGCAACATACTAATGGAATGCATTAAAGCAATGCATGAAGTGATACAAGCAGATGAGTACAGTAAAGGTAAAAAGATGGCAGTTTAGAAATAGGAGTGTGGTAGAGATGTAAATAAATGAAGCTTCTGAATTTACTATAACACAATTCAAGTTTATTCCATTCATTCTTGCAACACAAACACAGTATCATTTAGCAATCTGATGTTTATGAACCATGATAATGATAAACCAAACTGTGTCAAAATAGTTACATTGTGGAAAAAGATCAAATATCAAAATGCACAAAGAACTACTCTTCTTCCATCACTGGGTAGAAAGATATGATTGAAGTTTTTTTTCCATTTATAAAATATAAGACTGTTCAGTTTGAGATTTTGCATGCAACACTGCAATTGCTTGACTAGGACATTCCACTCTTACCAGCTTCTTCTATCCATCAATTTACCCAGTAAGGGCTGCATTAATGAACAAAAATGAAGTTACAAAAGCAAGGTCTGTACAAAAGGGAGCAGAAAGCTTTAAGACCATAAGTCATTATTTTAAAATGAAAGCTAAAAGGAAAGATATTGGTGCTGGATTGGATTTTCAGATTATTAATTTTGATTACTTCCAAAAAATTCCAATCTGAAAAAAAGAATTTACTTCAAAAGTTATTACTGTCTAAAAGCTAGTATGTGACACTGAGAGTCAATATTTTTCTTTTTTTCTTTGTATAAGTACGATATGACCTCTTAGCATAAAACAATTCAACATTAGTTTGATTTTTTTAATTTCCAGACTAGAAACTAGTAGCTTGATTTTTTTTATTCGGAAATACTTGGAGAGATGATAGATATAAAGATACTTATGACATTGCAGCTATTCTGGTCAAGTGGCCAGAAGATACGTTTACCACAGCTACTCAACAGAATCCACTTCTAGATTCTTCAGGGAAGATGTGCGGAGGAGGTGAGATGATTACATGGTTGTGAGAAAGAGGAGCACGAGAGCAGAGCCCCAAATGCTTGAGCTGAACTGCTAGAATGATTAAAACGATCCTATGCTACATAAGGACTGAAGAAGAAACTGACACAGATATTTGTAATATTCAACTATGAAGCACAGCTAGAATGTCATTTTTTGTTTTGTCTCAAGTAAACTATCCCCAATCTGACTTAAAAAATTTAGTTTTACAATTAGTCTAAAAATTCAAATTCTTAGTTTATCATTTTCATACCAGCACCTTTTGTGGAGCACACAGAAAGATGAACAAGCAGTCTGTGACTGCCCAGACTGTCATGCAACACACTGTACTTCACTGTAAATCACATTCCTGCACCAATACAGAACAGAGTACATCGTTCCACTTGTAAGAAGCAAATTCTGTTTAGAGAATCAAGTTTGTTCTCATAGCTATGGAATAGTCTATTTTAAGATTAAGGGTATTACTTGTTGGTAAAATACATTTTAAGTCACAACAGAAAATTTGAATTACATGTGGTCTAAGGAGGCTATATTCCTAATTTCTCTTCAGTAACTTCTTAAAATTCTTAAATGTAAATGAAATGCTTTCAAAACTGAAAAAGGTACATTCAAAATAATGAAATGTTTGGACACCAGAGTTACCTGGACAACAGTCAAGACAAAGTACTGCACACCTTGATGCAAAGCCAGTAGATGTTTCACTGTGAAGTTTCTGATTTTATGATACAAACCCTATCCATATTTTTAATAAGAATAACCAAGTTCTATTTGCCCTGGAATCTCCAAATCAAGGTATTAGCATATTACAAAGCCTTATGCATGTATGTCTTTAAAAAAGCTATCCTGAAGAATATTTGTAAAATGAGTTTTATAAACAAACATCCTTGGCTGAGCAGGATATGGAGCATGTCACTGTTTCCCTTAGGAACATTATTATTCATTCTGCTGTACTAGTTTTTCAGATCCAATGCCATGATAGTGGATCAAATCTCATTTTAAAGATGCACACAATGTATGAGAATAATGTAAAAATGAAGCTAGGAAAAAGAAAGCTACTGCCTTCTTTAAAAGAATGTTGTTAGTTAAACATGAGAGCAATTTCTTCTTTAGTAATTAGAGTTATCTTGAATTCAAATCATGAAGGGCAAAGCAATCATCCTCAAGCACCAAGAGGACTGGAGCAGTCACTTTGTTCCAGTACATTTTATGATTTGCTGGGTGAGGAAGTTTCATCTGGAAGCCTTTCAAGAGCAACCATTTTCCAGGACTAGGCATTGCGTTTCATCAGGCTGGCTCCCGACTAAATGTCTTAAATGGCGAAATAATACATGATCTCGATCACGTCTCTCAGCAACCCTTGGTGGAAATGCAGCCCTGTCTTTACTGTGTATTCCTCATTAAAACAAATTAGTGCAGCATCCAAATGATTAAATACTGAGATCTTATAAGCAAAAGCCTTCAGTGCTGCATAATCTACTTAAGGCACAGGGACACAGCTAAAAAGGTGTCCCACAGCCTTGGTTGGTATGTGGTTGAACTGCAGCACTGGACTGGTACTGCCATTACAGGTTAGAAAACACAGAACAGGACCATTCCATCTCACAAACTTTCAGTATTGTTTTAGCAGAACAAGGAAAGTTTACAGGCTATATGGGTAGACAACATTCTTCTCCCTTTGCCCAGCAGAAGTTCAATTTTGCTGGAAATGGGGAAAGATTGTACTCTGAATAGTGTCCTAAGTAGACATCAATTACTGGGATTTCTACTCTCTTCAAACAGGTTCTCTTCTTTGACAGAGATACCTAACTAGTCTGATTTACTGTGATTTTTTCCTCTCTCTCCAATATTTAGCTGAAGAAGCTGGAAGATACAAAGAGTGATAGACAGGCAGCAGTGTGAGGCCACAGGAGAGACATTAGATCTCAGTCCATCCGTCACTGGAGAAGAGCTTTGATTGCCTGATTGTCAGTGGCTTCAAAGGCAGTTAGTCCATCTGGCCCTCTCACAGTTTTATCAGCACCCTGCAAAAAGATAAGAGCCGTCATTTTAAAGAAAGAGGTGGAAAAACAGGCTGCTCACCTGAAAATGTGTTTCTTCAAGTGGCCATCTGTTGAAATAACACATCAGTCATGGGTTCTTCTGAACTACAGAGGTTTTCAAAATGCTACTCAGCATCTCATATGTGTCACTGCACATAAACTACAAGGAAAATTATACGTACCAGAAACACTTTCTGATGTATTGATATGTTTGTGGTTATGTACTGAAACTGAGTATTTTAAACAATTTACTGTGATTAGGTTACTTGTATAATTAATTCAGCTAGAATGCACTAGCTTGATATGGCATTGTGTGTTTAAAATGAGCTTACAAAGAGATAATTTCCAAATAATTTGGAATGAAAAAGATGGGTTTTAAACAATTCCATAGTCTGTGTTGTATATCAAGTTATAGTATACCCTAATTTGTGAAACTTTGTTTCTCTCTACAGTGGTGCCTCGCATTACGATTGCCCCGCATTACGATGAAGTTTTTGCGATCGCAAAATGATGATTTAAATGGGCTTGTTCCACTTTGCGATGATTGGTTCCCTGCTTCAGGAACCGATTCTTCGCAAAACAACGATTTTTCTACAGCTGATCTGCGGTTTCAAAATGGCCGCCGGGTAAATAAAATGGCTCCCCGCTGTTTTCTGGGATGGATTCCTCATAAGACAGCCACCGAAAATGGCTGCCCTATGGAGGATCTTCGCTGGACGGTGAGTTTCCAGCCCACTGGAACACTTGAAGGGCTTTCAATGCGTTTCAATGGGCTTTTTATTTTCGCATTAAGATGTTTTCGTTCTACAGCGATTTCGCTGGAATGAATTAACATAGTAATGTGAGGCACTACTGTACTATACATGCACATCTGCACTGCAGGGGCAGATAACAACTGACAGTTCTCGGAGTCTCAAATTTAATTAAATGACACAATTATAGTTGCTTTTAGACTCGGTTGTAGTTATCTGAAGATGACCAAACTCCATGTATACCAAACAAATTTAACAGTTATTCTTAAAATGGGCTGTCTACTTGCCTGCTTTCCTAATAGATAACCACACCTATATTCCCCATTCTCAAGTCTTCTGTGCTTTGATAAAACTTTATGAGACACAATGTTACTATGCATCTTGCGTGGGCTAGAGCCCGTTTTGTACAGATATCTCAAAAGCCAAAGTATTGTGGTGCTGAAGGCACATGACAAAGAAATTAAAATGGAATCTAGACAACACTGACTACTACGCCCACAAGTGACCTTCTAGAGCTCTTTATAAAATCAGAATTGCATAGCATTCCCTCTACGCCCACATGCAGATAGCCAAAATGCTTGAAAAGCTTAAGTTTTTCAGGAGTTACCAATGGCTTGATTCATTCATTTCAGAGGCTGCCAACCAGACAGAATTGCAAGTTTTAGAATTCCAAACACATACTAGTTATATACGAAAGGGTACAACCACCATTACTCCAGAAGTAATAATACTAAAACTATATTGAAGCTAGAGGGAGTAGGGTTGCCTATAAAGTCACACAATTTCAGACAAATTAAATTTCTATTTTTTTAACAGGGTTGGTGAATAAAACGAAAAAGGCATGGTAACTCCTTTAATTGATATAGTATAGCCTGGTAAAGTTGCCTTTCTCCTTTAACATAGGTGGTCAACTTTCCATTGGTTCACCTGTGTTTGTGTATTAAGGTGTCAGCCAGCTCTGAAGCACCACATGCATGTCCCAAGGAGACATAAGTAATGACTTTCTATCAAAATCATGGCTGTAATAGACTACAGCCAATCATTATGATTAGTGTGTCAGAAGCATCAAGCAGCACTCCATCATCTACAGTCTCAACACTTGAAGCTTTCCCAAGTACACTTTATTTGTTGGTAAAATAATAAATCAATTTCAGCTTGTCATTTTCTACATTTTAGAGTAACGGTATTTGAGGAAAGTGACAGGAAAAGAGAGCACAAATGCAACAAAAGAAAGCAAACAACCTCCGGATTAAGTACTCAGGAATTACTTGCAAAAAGGCACTAAACCAAAAGGAACAGGTATATATATTATAGTGGCTTTAATATTTAGCTTAAACAGTAGCCTCACATTATACTATGAAGCCTATATAGAATTTCTAATTTAGTACATGGTATGTAAATATGTATCTCAATCACCGGTCAATACATTTTTCTTATTTAGTCCAGTTTTGCTCAGATTTTTTTAACAACTTCTCATTTGAATGTGCTTTCAATTTTAGCTGAAAAATATAAAATTTTATATCTTGTAAGACCACACAAGGGGGTACTCCACATGAACAACAACTCTGCAAAATGAATTTTATTAACGTATTAACCTATTTGAAACTTAATTGATTATCTGAAAATATCTACATAGGAAGCACTAGCCCAGGCTAAAAATATTCTGAACCTTCTCTGTCTTTTGCTACTCATTCCACTATATTTAATATGGTGCTGGTGAAGCTCATATAAAACCAAATCAACTTCCAAACCTTTCAAAGTAATAAAATGTTACAAGCAGTTCTAAAATCTTTAGTACTTTGAAGGCCAATGATAAAATTCTTCACCTAATTCTACAGGTTTGAAATTTCAATTTAACTTTGGATTTAATTTTATTTATTTATTTTATTTATTCCACTATATTTAATATGGTGCTGGTGAAGCTCATATAAAACCAAATCAACTTCCAAACCTTTCAAAGTAATAAAATGTTACAAGCAGTTCTAAAATCTTTAGTACTTTGAAGGCCAATGATAAAATTCTTCACCTAATTCTACAGGTTTGAAATTTCAATTTAACTTTGGATTTAATTTTATTTATTTATTTTATTTA